ACTTGTATACCAGTGTTCACTGCAGCACTATTCACAACAGGCAAAAGGTGGAAACCTAAGTACCCATCAAGACGAATAGATAAACAAAATGTGGTACATACATACAAAGGAATACTACTCAGCTAGTAGGAGAAATGAAGTCTTGATACATGCTACAATATGGATGGAACTGGAAGACATTATGCTGAGTGAAATAAGTCAATCATAAAAGGACAAATATTGTATGATCTCACTTTTATAAAAAGACAAGAAAGGCAAATGTATACAGAACAAAGTTTATTAGTGGTTACCAGGGATGGGAGGGAGGGAGAAAGGGGGAGTTAATGGTGATGGAAATAATTCCATTGATTAAGGGTAGGGTTGCACAGCTGGTTATTGTAATTGCTGTCAATAAGTTGTACACCTGTAAAAAGCTGAATTGGAAAAAGTCATGTGATAGATACATTTACAAAAATAACAACAACTACAAAGAGTAGCTGCTGAGGCTGCTTGTGTACAACTAAAAACCTCATGGGATTTGATTCCTTGAAGATTTAGGATCATGGTTTCATGGGACATCCGTTAATTGGCCTAATAACGTGTTTAGTGTTTCTGTTCTACCTCCTAGTTTGTTGTGTAGTGCCTGGGGTCTTAAAAGCTTGCAAGCAGCCATCCAAGGCACAACAATTGGTCTATATTCACCTGGAGCAACAGAGGAAGAAGGAAAGTCAGATAGGAAAAGGATGTGGAACGTGTGGTTAATTGCCTCTAACAATAACTGCCTCCTTTGTCATGAGACCAGAACTGGGTGGTGCCCGGCTACCATTACTGAACATACTGATCAAAGATTCTATAGAAGAATCCTGATCAAAAGGGGGAAAATGTAGAACATATTTTAAAATTCTCATGGAATACAGACTTCCTGGAGACATGACGCTGGATGAACCCCTTAAACTACTGCCCTGCTTTTATTTGGAGAAAACCAAATGCAGCTACAATTATAATTAGCCCTTGGTCTGTGAAAAACTTTAATAGGTAAAAGCAAACAAGCACTACCTTTAGCCCATAAAGGACTACTCTTTTATTAGTATAGTCTTGAGATTAGTGGAAATGTTTGTCTAATGAATGCAGCTACTATATTTGAGCACATGCCTGAATAAGCTACTTGTTGATTGAAACCTATCTATATGCATTTCTGCATGTTGTGAAAAATCCAACTGTGTGACCACAGCCTGGCTCCTCTCGTTTGAATAAGGGCTCTTTGCCATCTCACTGTAGGGCCTGTTGAACGAAGAACAGAAAGAAAGTGCGTACTGCCTCCAGTTACAGGTTTTATTCCTCACTCTTGGCCTAAACAGTGGGTTAGATTGATTTGGATGTTATAAAGATAGAAATAGAAAACAAACAAACAAACAAAACGTTTCATTAGACCCACCCAGGGATTTAATCTAGAAGATTTACCGTAACTTGAATAAATGGTCACAAATAGCCCAAACTAGCCATACCTCTTCTCATGCCACAATCTCTGAACTAAGTCTGGAAAGTGTGTGGACTTACTACATATACTGGATATAATTTCTTCTTTACATTTTGCTTATGAAGACCACACTAACAAGTCCAACAGAAACAATGACAGCATGAAGAGCTTAGTCTTGATATACAACTAAGTAAACTGATGCTTTCAATGTACGGAGTGCCTAGCGTTTCACTGTACTGAGGCTCCATTCAACTTAACGCCAAATTCTCTACCCCAAAGGCACCTCAAATCCATTCCAGGACTCTGTAGTTCTGAACTCACCACTCTACCTACCACCCCTCAACATCGCCTATTCCCAGACCAGCACCAACTAACTCACCCAGCCTCATGAGACTGGGGTTTGGATGTAGAGATCCCTTATTCCATTGGGGTTTATTTTCACTCCTCTGCAGTTGTTGTTAGCTGCCATTGAGTCAGCCCCCAACTCATGGCGACGCCATGTGCAACAGAGTAGAATTGTTCAGTTAGGGTAGTCATTCACTATGCTGTCTCTCTGAGGCTGACAAGGAATTTATTTATTTATTTTTTAAAAAAAAGACTAAATCTTAATGGAACACGGGCTATTATTAACTGAGACCTCACAGAATTTCTCTCTTTGGAGAAACTTAAAAACAATGACAGGCAAACCATCGAGTATACACTGTTAGAAAGCAAAGACTGAAATGAGCTGACCACTGGAGGCTTCTCCTAGCTCCAGCACAGCAAGTAGAAAGCAGTCCTTGAATCCTGGTTATTTCTTTTCTTAGTGTTTTAATTAATATTGACCCTCAATAACTTGTAGCTATTAGTATGATGATGGAATTTCACACTATGGCAACTAAGTAAAGATTAGAGGATCGTATCTGTTCTGTTTTTCTGATAAAATAAAAAAGCAGTTCTAAAAACAAAAGTATTAATCCTGGAAAACCAACGAGATGAGGCACCTGGAAATAGAAACTATTTAACCATAATATATCAATATGAGGCACCAAAGACCCTTTAGTTAATGCAATACGTCTGTTTTCACAGTACTGTGTTCCTAACTCTGAGGCTGTGTGAAAGTGTTAAGAGACATTAAGAACTTGATGGAAGGTACTATTTCACCACACTGATTTTACAGATGAAGAAATTAAGTACCTGAGTGTTAGAAATTAAGTGTTAGTAGGTAGAAGAGATGCTTTTGATTAGGAAGCCCTAAGCGCTTCCTCACACATATTTCTTCAATTATGTTAAACATTCACATGTGATTATTAAATATAACTAATAGGTCTATGTCTAAGGATGAAGCTATCTAATAGCTCTCCTTTGTGAGATCATTCCAAAATAAAAAGTGTAGGGCAATATCTCAGTTTCTTAGTGCTGCTATAACAGAAATATCACAAGTGGGTGGCTTTAAACAACAAAAATTTATTTTCTCACAGTTTAGGAGGCTAGAAGTCTGGATTCAGGGCACCAGCTCTAGACGAAATCTCTCTCTGTGGGCTCTGGGGGAAGATCCTCGTCTCTTCCAGCATTCCTCAGTTCCTTGGCGATATTCGTATGATATAGCATCTATCTTCCCGCGTTGGTGCATCTTGTCTCTGTGTCTATGGAGCTTCTTATAACTTGTAAGTGACTAGGTTTATGACACACCTTACACTGATAATGACCTCACTAACATAACAAAAAAATCCTATTTCTAAATAGGCTTATATCCACAGGTAACAGGGCTTAGGATTCCAACACATTATTTTTGAGGGACACAATTCAATCTATGACAGGAGGCATTGTGTAGACTTTGGACCACCACAGTGTTCAAGAACAGGACTGGAAGGGGATTATTATTATTATTTTTTTTGACTTGGTTTGTAACTGTGCACAATCACCTATGCCTTTCTACCTTGAAGCCAAAGGAAAGCAAGCTGAGAAGTAAAAACTTCTAAAAACAAAGAAACTCTTCTCCAGACTTCATCTGATTCCTGAAATCTTTTCCTCTTTCAGTATTTCTTTCCATTTTCCACTGCCATTCCCAGCTTAGTATTTTTAGAGATAATCTTAAAACCTCACTCCATCCATCCATTCATCTATCCACCCACCCACCTATCTCCAACGGCTTCCACAAAAGATGTTAAGTGGACACTTAATGTTAACTCATCCTACTACTTCATTTTATTGGTCTTCCTCACAGGTTTCTCTTCTATGAGAGAAGCTGCTCTGGGGCATATGTGTACATTCTTTTAGGTTTGTATGATAATAGAAAAGAGAAGCAAGTGTTTAAGCAAAGAAAGCATATAGTATTGTTAAAAACAAAACAACAAAAAAAACCCTGTTGCCCTCAAGTCAATTCCGACTCCTAGCGACCCTACAGCACAGAGTAGAACTGCCTCATAGAGTTTCCAAGGAGCAGCTGGTGGATTTGAACTGCCTATCTTTTGGTTAGCAGCCTGAGCTCTTAACCACTATGCCACGAGGTTCCACATTTAGCACTAGTTAAGGTAAATTCATCGAAGAAAAGATTTTTTCTTAAGACTGCATTTTAATGCTCAGAATACTTTATATTTGTGGATTATGTATTCTTAAACTTCCAAATGCAGCTGAAACTCACAAAGAAGCTAGGAGTAGAAATTAATTATATTTTATAAGAATATGAAAAAACAAAAACAAAACCAAGGGTCAAGTGACATATGCATGGGACCCAATATTCAGCAACCCAAGCCAGGACTTAGAATTCTTCACTATGACTTCTGTACTCAAATTATAAGGCTCAGCTGCTGCCTTCAGTATTTGTTTCCATAGACCTTACTAAGACAGAATTTCACTTTGACATTTTTGTAATATGTTACCATTTATAACTGTCTTCATCCTTAATAGACAATCATCTTTAGGGCTGGCAGTAGACACAATGAGGAGGGTCAGCTTGGTTACTAGTGGCTAATGGGTTAGTCAAAATTTGGGTTATGTTGGTTTCTTCTTACATTTCCTAGATTTAGAAGTTAAACCATACCCACATTTTCAATTTAGCCAAACCTGTATCCTGACACAAACACAGAATCCTAAGAAGTGTAAAGCTTTCCATCATCAAATCCACTCTTTTATCACTTTTGGGGAACAAAGCAGTTGAGCTAATGATTCTACAAAATTGTCATGTGATTTTTTTTCCTGTTTAAATCTTTCCAAAGGATGATCCAATTCATGTTAGCCTGAGACAGAAAAGACCCTATGCTAAAAAGCAAACTGTAATTTATTGGTTCTTTGTGCAGAAATAACTCAAGAATAATAAAAATACTGAATTCAACCATAATTTGGCCTAAAGGAACAAGGAAGCTCTTATTTACAGTACTTTAGAAAGCTTAGAACACTTCAAAAGCAAGAAAGTTACCCATAAAACAGAAATTTACTTAAAAAATGAAATTTTGTGTTTCAGATATACAGGTATCAGAGAAATTCCAGAAAGTGAAAGCATCTTCTCCAGGAACTGCTTCCAACACTGTCAATATTGGTTTCGAAATAGGTTGCTTAGGTCTTGCAGCTCTGTTACTAAGGTGTCCATAGCCGCTATTTCGTCAGCTAACTCACTGGAAATTTCTCCACTTGCCACATCTGTAAAAAGTTGCTGCAACATAAAAAACAAAACAGATCAAAACAATTACTAAAACCTCTTTAAAATAAAATAGATACAGAATATAGAATTAAAATATCTTTTGCACAATAACACATTATAGCAGCAACAGTAGCATTTGTTTTGTTCACCATCTTGGGAATACACAATAGAATTAAAATATCTTTTGCACAATAACACCACATTATAGCAGCAACAGTAGCATTTGTTTTGTTCACCATCTTGGGAATACACATGCTGCAACAAACAATGAATCAAACAACTTGCCTGAACTTTAAATTCAAATAAGCTCTGCTGGAGAAAGTTCTCCTTGCATATTGGTTATTCATTTCAATATCATAGGATAGTTTGGGGATGAAGAGACATTCTATTTGTTGTGTATGCAAACAAAATAGATACATTTTATAGTCAAGTTCATATAAATCATACCTTCATGGTACTTATTTGAAAACTAATATTGTTTTAGGCCTCAGGGGCCGCAAAGATTAAGATTGGTAAAAGCAAACAAAACAAAACAACGGACAAGCCCAGCAAAATAAAATATGCCCTGCTCCCATAAAAGAAATTGCCTTGGGAGGCTTACAACACTTTGGAATGCTGCTAAAGGAACTGCCTGCTGTGTAGTATAGGAACCCAAGAAAATCAGCTTCAAAATTTTATGAAACACATTGTGTGTGTATGCATGTGAGTACACACAAGCTGTGTGTGAGCACATGTGTGTGTTTTAATTAGACATGGTATAACTCAGTTTACCATGTATCTTTTTTATCAGACTGGACTAGACGACCTGTTTACAGAAATCAAATTTGCCGTTAAAAATGACTATTTGCTCTCACCACTATAGATGATCACATGTAACAATGGTTCTAAAGGCTGTTCCAAAAAAGGAGTCCCAAGGATGCTCTGAGTGATGGCATAATCACTGGAATAGGCTTAGAGTTTCACACAGCGATTTTTGGAGCAAAGAACATTCACTTGAATGAAGAACTTCAAGAATGTTTAGCAAAAATTTGTCACATTACTTTGTAGTCATACCTTGTACAGCATTTCAAAACAGAATGAAATAAAAACTGGTGTGATGTGATTAGTATAGAAAATACCCTTTAGGAAAATAACCTGGGCCCACGTAGCACGTTTTTAATAAAAATTATAGTTCTTGCAAATAAGAATGAATCTGCATCACTTCTCTATAAGATGAGGAGCTAAAGCTGAGAAAAAAATAATTTGTTGAAGGTTCCAAAGAGTTAAGTGGTAAAATCTGTTCTAGGCTCCAGGGTTTTTAATTCCAGGCTCAGGACTGTAGCAAATGGCCTTCATGTCACACTTTGCTGAAAACTTGCACAATGGTAGGATGCTAAGTGTGTAGCCGCTACTCTGTCCTGGAAGAGCATGGACTGGATGGCTTGTTAGGTCAGTCTCTAGGTTCAAGGAGTTTATTTCCATGAAGTCCTTCACCTGGCAAGAAAAGACCAGAGATTCATGCAAAGTAAGCCTGTTGCTGTTAGTTGCCATCAAGTTGATTCTGATTCATAGAGACCCCATGAATGCAGAGTAGAACTGCCCCATAGAGTTTTCAAGGCTGCGACCTTTCAAAAGCAGATTGCCAGGCCTGTCTTCCTCTGGGTGGGTTCGAACCGCTAATATTTCAGCTAGTAGTTGAGTGCTTAACTGTTTGTGCCACCCAGGGACTCCAAACCAAGCCTACCGAAAGCTATTTACATAGCTATCTTAATTCATTTTTACTATTATTTTTATGTTAAAAAAATGTTTTTTAGAATGCAATTCTGTTTAGCAAACCCAATTCATTCAATACAGTAGAAAGGCATATGATCTACTACAAAACCAAAAACTCGTAACTATTACATACAAAATGGGACTTCCACGGAGACGGTGGAAACTGATTTTTCTATTTTTGTATGACCCAGTTGGGACTGAATGAGAACCAAAATCTAAATGCAGACGATGTTCTGAGGCTTCCTTTTCCACGTTTGAAAATCTTCCACAATACGGAAGCATTCGCAGTTTACACAGACAAGACTATTTAAGTCAGGTACGTAGTATTTAGAAAGGCAATAACTTATAAGAAAAAGCTTTGCACAGAGTTAAGGAAAGAAAAGCATTTTGAAAAGGTAAAAGCAAATGGAACATAAAACATATACAGATAAAAAATATATTTTCAAATTTATTTGGAAACTGTTATCACTTATTGTACAGGCAGTAAGATAGCATGATAAATTAGCATGTTAAACTTGGTGAAAATTGAACTAGTCTACTAATAAGATCATAATTTTATATTATTTTCATATTATTAAAAACAAAAGGCATTTAACATTATATAAGTTCTTTTTCTACATTAGGTAAAATTTTCTATGACTTTTAAGACTTGGATATATAAAATACCTTCTCTTTGTATTTCACTATCTATTCTCAAATAATGTCTCTAGTTTGAAGGCTAATTTAACTAGTACTGTGGATTTGAGAAACACGTCTGAATTTCCCAAACAATTCTAGTTTTTAAGGCTATCTTAAGAAAATATTTTAAAATTATTGGGCTAGGAAATTAACGAGTTGCAATAAGCCTTAGTTAGAAAAAAGTTTTAGAAGCGAACAGAAGAAAAATCTATCAGAGTGTATTAAGTAACAGTTAAGGTATACATGTGTATATATACATGTACACACACACACACACACATTTGTTTATGTGTACATGTATATAATAAATAAGTAGATACTGGGTTGTGTTATAAAATGCATTTCTCACAATGAGTCTGATGAAAAAATCTGATACACACTGTTATAATTGGTCCCTTTCAGCTCTAAGATACTAAATATTTTTTAGAGTAATGATGTACTTTAAGTACTGAAAATTCTTATTTTTAACTTTTCATTTCTCAGTCTGTTTAATAAACTTTATAGCGATACACAGGGAAAAAATACTTTCCAGGCCTAAAAGTGTCCTGTTGATACAGATACTCAATAATAATTGCTTGGTAACATGTGCCATGAGAACATCAAAAAAGACAAAAAAAGAAGGAATGAAGAAAAACTGAACATACCACAGTAACCTAAGAAGTGGTATGAATCCAGTATTGCTAAGTGACAAGAAAATGGTTTAAAATGGTTCTGTTGTATATACACTGATTAAAATGCTCAGTACGAACAAAATTTTCTTTCTTTAAAATCAGCCTGGGTAAAACAGTGCTCTGTGAATCAAATTAAAAAAAAAAAAAAAAAAAAAAAGGAACCACTTTAGCAGTATTATAATATGCAAAAAAGAGCGATTCCAAGGAGCTGTGGCTGATAATATAGTTATCATGGGAAATGGAGGAGTATAAACTGATGAAAGAAATAATAGGTTAGTGATCTAACCAAAACTAGGAAACTTAACTCCCAATTTGTGAAGGAAAGTCACAGAAGAAGTGTACTGCTTTGACTTTCTTGGAGAGAGATCTTACAGCCTCCTGAAGACACATAATTCTGGAGGTCTGCTGGCAAACTGGGGAGAAAATACAGTTCTCCTGGTAGACTATAAAAATCTGGTTCTAGCATGCAGAAAAAGATAGTAAAGTGAGTTAACTATCTAAAGAGGTAAAAATGATGTCCTGGTCTGAAAAGATCAAGTGATTTATAAAAAAGTAATCTCTAGAAAGGTTTTTACAAATGCCCAGAAGTGGTCTCCAAGAGCTACAGGCTTGCTCTCAGAAGTGAGTCAAAATCAGTTTGCAACCTAAGGTTAAACAGTGAAAGCAAGTAAAGATTAGAAAAGTACAAAATTGTGCTACAAGTTATATTCCTTGTAAATCCGGCACCCAAAGGTCTAGTCCAAACCTGACTGCATATTAGAGTTGCCTAGGAAATTTCACACAGATTTCCCAGGTTCTACCCAGACCTGAATCTCTATCTGTTCAGGCAAGAACCCAGGAATCCAGTCCTCAAAAAAGCTCCCACACTGTCTGGAGGGTGGTATTTGAGATTTGATGGTATGGTTTAGTTGTCAAACCTTAACACTTTTTGTCAAATCCACATGCTACCTATTTAATATTTTCCTCTTAATCCATGTTTTTACTTAAATAAAAGTATTTAAAAAAAAAACACTGTATCACCACTGTAAATGGAGAACAAGCAATAATATCCATGAAATTGTAGGTTTAGTATGTTAGCCACACTTATTCTAAAACACACTGAAATAAGTATATATCAAAATCAGAAAGTTTACTCACTGCATGTATGTCACACTGCAGAAAAAGTGATAATAAAGAGGTAGAGCATTGTTTCAATTTAATTTAGAAAGAGTAATAGGGCCTGAATTGCAAACATTAACTTCGAAGACTCCCAAGTTATCCACACTTAGGGTGGTTGTGATGGTTAAGATTGTGTGTCAACTTGGCTGGGCCATGATTCTCAGTGGTTGGGCAGTTATGATGTAGTCTGGCAGTTGTATAATGATGTAATCACCTCCATGATGAGATATGATATAATGTAATCACCTTCATGGTGACATGTGCTATGAGCAGCCAATCAGTTGAGAGAGTATCACTGAAGGTGTGACCTGCATCCAATATATGTGGGCTATCTTAGTTATTTAGTGCTGCTATAACAGAAATACTACAAGTGGATGGCTTTAACAAACAGAAGTTTATTGTCTCACAGTCTAATAGGCTAGAAGTTTGAATTCAGGGCGTCAGCTCCAGGGGAAAGCTTTCTCTGTTGGCTCTGGAGGAAGGTCCTTGTCATCAATCTTCCCTTGGTCTAGGAGCTTCTCCATGCAGGAACCCCAGGTCCAAAGGACATGCTCTGCTCCTGGAGCTGCTTTCTTTAACGTAACGGCCTCTAATCTTGCCTCATTAACATAAAAGACATAGGATTTATAACACACAGGAAAATCACATCAGATGACAAAATGGTGGACAATTACACAATACTAGGAATCATGGCCTAGCCAAGTTGATGCACATTTTGGGGGGACACAATTCAGTCTATAACATGGACTTCCTGGCAGAGCTCCCTGGCTTTTGCTGTGCTCTGGATCTTGCATCCAGCTCGTCAGCATCTGACTTCCAGTTCTTGGGACTTGGGCCCAGCAGCCTGCCATCTTACCTATTGATCTTGGATTCGTCAGCCTTTGCAGCCATGAGCCAGCGACCTGCCATCACCTGCCATCTGACCTGTGAATCTTGGTTTTGTCAGCCCCTGCAACTACATGAGTCAGGAGAAGGCTCCAGCCTGATGCCTGATCCATGGACTTGGGACTTGCCAGCCCCTACAACTGTGAGAGCCATTTCCATAAATCTCTCTCTCTCTATTATATATATATATATATTCTTCACTGGTTTTGCTTCTCTAGAGAACCTAGTCTAAGACAGCGGTCTAGCTAGGAAGAAAGGCCTGGCTATACTGTTTCCGAAAGTCAGCCAATGAAAACCCTATGGATCATAAAGGTCTGATTCCGTTGTGCTTGGGGCCAACATGGGTCAGGAGCCGACTTGACAGTGGCTAACGACAACAACAGCAAGCCATTGGGCCAAGAATATCCACACCAGCACAACCAACCACCTGGGGGCTGTTCTTTAAAATATAACATCACTTAAAATTACTCCTCATTTAAAAAAAGAATCAAAAACAGCAAGCTGATAATGAAGATCTTTTTCTATGTGACAACTCTAATTGATTCACATTACACTCTTACCTTTGCTTTAGATAACAAGCCCCGTAAATTGAGTCGAATTGAAGAAAGCACTTGTACAGCCTCTTGGGGACTGGATTTGTTCTTACTGCATTTTATAGCCACTGGAAGATAAATATGAGGGAAACCATCCATTAAAAATAGATAATGATAATTTATACAGTTACAAAAAAAATTAAGGTTTTATAAGTAACAACTTCAGAAATATTTCTACAAGTGAAGTTTTATTTTTGAAAAGTGATGATTACATATACCTTTAAGAAAGATAATTTACTTTCAAAGGGAGAATTTTGAGGAAAATAGGTGATTTTTGCTGAATTACAAATAGTTAAGAAAAGACTCTAAGCACGCGCGCGCGCACACACACACGCACATGCAGGCATGAACACGGGTGCAGACAATGAAGTTCCTGATGTAATTAAGCAAGAAGACAAGATCTTTTGAAAACAAGACGCCCACACAGGGCAAAAACAGATGCAGCACGTCTCAGTGTGGCCTCCCACCATTCCCAGGGTCCTTAACAGGGACTCCAACTACTGATGACACTAGCCTAAGGAAGTGATGGGCCAACTGTATACAGCTCAATGCTTTTTCACACTCAGGGTTTATATCACCATTTTGGAAGGATTTACATCAACAATCTATGGGCTTTCATGGAGGGACTATGACCACAGCAGGCTCTCAGGGTCATAAGCCACGAGTGGCACCAGCAGGTCGGAGGGGAGGGCGGGGTCACTCCTCTTCCAGCATTCTGGGGAGTCCATTTTCCTAAGACTTGAAATTATGAAGGGGGCACACTCTCCCCTGGCAGAATGTCCAGTTAACAGTGCTTTATAAAAGTGAAGAGGTTTGTACAAACACAATGCCTGACACTTCTTCACTCATTTGTTTTTGTTCACCTCAATTATGCCCACTAAATTCAAACAGACCAACAACCAGATGCTATTTTACAACTACACTAAACAATGTAAGGATTAAAGTCTACTTAGTACTCCAGGTCTTAGTCAGGGATAGAAAAAGGGTCTTTTTTTGCATGCAAATGCTAATTGACTGGGAAGAGGCTGCCTGTGCCTGGCAAAATGGAGTTCTGTCATTAATAATGTCCCCCATGGCCGGCAAGAAACCAGGTTGACATTTCTACTTCAAATAATAGCTAGACTTTGACACTTCTCAGCTAAGGGTTGAAAAGATCCTTGGTAAATGGCAATGTTAATCTCCTTTTCAAAGGGCATAGTCAACCTGGAGAGAGTGAGGATTAAAATGTCTGTTTCACTTAGCAGAGGAAAGTTGTAACTGCCATGGTTGACGTATTTGAGCTACTTAATATTTAGTAAAGGAGCCCTGGTGGCACAGCAGTTAACAGCTCAGCTGCTAACCAAGAGGTCGGCAGTTTGAGTCTACCAGCTGCTCCTTGGACACACTATGCGGCAGTTCTACTCTGTCCTATAGGGTCACTATAAGTTGGAACAGACTCAACGGCAATGGGTTTGGGTTTTTTTGTTTTGTTTTGGCTAACTGAAATGTCAGAGGTTCGAACCCACCAGCCACTCGTAGGAGAAATCACCTGTCCATCTGCTCCCATAAAGATTACAGCCTAGGAAGCCCTACGGGGAAGTTCTACTTTGTTCTATAGGTTCACTATGAGTCAGAATCGGCAGGCACCAACAATACGTAGTAACCTATATCAGAAAAGGCTGTGATTCTTTTCTTTAATACTTTATTTTCATTCTAAGGAAAACAAAAACACACTCTATTAGTTCCCTCTTCAATCCGACTTCCAAAAGGCAGTAGAGATGTGATAGAGATATAGAGATAGCTATATATAGAGAGGGAGAAAGGAGCACGGGGAGAGGCGGAAGAAGCAGGGGTGGGTGGGGGGAGATGGAAGGGAAGAGAGGAGGGTGGAGAGAGAAACAACTGGCTGTTTCAAATCATCAGGATATCCAAGACAGCAATGCTTCCTCCATGCAGACTGTAGTTAAAATGACTAACTATTATTTTCAAAGTTCCTGGGAAGGCAAAGAACTAACTAGCTTTCCCCTACCCTTTCCCAAAAAATAAAATAGCAGACTGCAAATGGACACCCTCCAGAAAACACAAACGGGCATACAATGACAGCATTGTTACAGAAAGTCTCAAATACCTCGTAGAGATTGCAATGTCTTTTCTTATCAAGCTTTCTAAAGTACATAGCTATTCTTAACAGCAACCAAATAAGGAGTAAATCAGGTAGAGATTTAAAAAACATTGTATTTCCTTTTGAGGACTGGGTGGGGTAAAAGAGACAGATAAGAAAAGAGAATAACAGAGAGACTCAGTTCACTGTTCATTTGAGCACTGGTATACAAAAGCAACTAAGAAAAGGTTAAGATTTATCTTCATAAATCTAAAATAGCATTAGAAACTAAAGCTGAGCATTCACTCAAATACGCTTAAAATGTTGTGGGAGCACCAACACATAATTCATTAAATTCAAAGGAGAACTTCAAAGAATAGACACCTGTTTTTCTCCAAGTACTGCCTGGATGAAAAAAACGGTACTGACAATAGTTTCAAACCAACTTTAAGATGAAAAAATGAAGATTTTTTCCCCTAGAGTATCTATTTAACCTGCATGTTTGTATTTGACAGGTTGAATACCAGCACTTGGTGATTACAGAAAATATCTTGGCTTTGCCCGTTATAGAGCTAGCTGTTCACAGAAATGTTTAGGGTTAGCAAATTGAAGCGGATAAGTTCTTCAAAGTAAATAGCACCCTGCTAATTACGTACATAATAAATACTCCATAGCTCTGTGTTGTCCCGAACAGAATACTGTATCCACAAAAGCCATCTGAGCCCACCATGAGGCCAGAACCTAAATAATCTTTCCACTGATTAGCAATTACCTCAAACTTTCCTACAATGAATTTCAACTATGCAGATTTCAATACTTATATCTTATCCATCAAGGTTTAAGTGACCCAGGAAATAGGATATTTATGTTCTTTTGGCCAAAGAGTCAAAGGCCCTAAGTAGAATTATTAACTACCAAGCCCATTTCTAAATCATTTGACTGTTCTATGACTTCTTTATAGGCAAGCTAAACTTTATCCTTGCTCTTGACTTTTCTTTTTTACTTTAGAGTCCCTTATCATACAAACCAAATCGTCTAACCCAGAAGGAATGGGGTAGGGCTGGGAAAGTAAGAGATTAACATTTATACTATGTGCAAAATACTGTTAAGCATTTAAATATGTTTTCATTTATTCTTCAGAACAATCATATGTAGATGCTGTCTCCATTTTACTAATAAGAAAAGCTAAGGCTCAGAGAAGTTAAGTAATTTGCCCAAAGTCACCTGGCAAGTACGTGGCAGAGCAAGTCCTGGAGCTTGGGTCTCCTTGATTCCAAAGCTCTGCCCTTGTCATTGTCCCTCATTGTATCCCTATTTGCTGTAACTTAGTTACAGGAAGAAGGTAGGCAGAGAAGTAGGAGGAGGACTTCAGGATAGGTTCACAGCCCTAGGTTCAGTTCTTAATATTGTGGCTTTGTTATTTTATTAGAACTGCATTCCCAAGCATTATACACTCATATTCAAGTATAAATATAAAAGTACATTACTAAATCTAAGCAGTACATTTTTCATTAATAAAAATAATTAAAAGTGGTCTTTATCTGGGTTATATTTTACCCAACAGGTATGTTACCTTGTATGTAAGGTTACACATATAACCCCTCCCCACCAAAATCACCCTTCAAATTTCTCAAAGATAGGGATTAGATTACATTTCACATTTTCTTTGTGTATGTCATTGCTCTTTGTATATTGCAATGTACTTCAGAGATCTATGTATTTTTAAGAATATTTTCACTTATAAAAACCAAAGCTAAGTCCAGGTATTGATAATCACTGTGTCATCTCCAATCTCTGATCAAAAGGAGTGAATGATTTAGAACATAATACTGGAATCATTTATTCCCTCTCCTTGAACATAGAGAATGTGACCCAGCTGAAGCTGGGCTCACAAAGGCTCACAAGGACATATCAACTGGGCCCTGAGTTATAAAGAAAATTGCTAAGATAATCATGGAAAATATCTTTTAAGGAACCTTTTCATATAAACCATTCAAACAGAACACAAAAGACTTTCCCCTTGTATCTCTTCCTATTAGCATTTAGCGAATAGAAAATTTGTTTGACCAATAAGACCCTTCTGACTATCATTACTGAAACCTGTACCAGTGATTGTTGAGAAAGACAATTCAAAATGTAGGATCCCAGTTTCTAGCCAATCTGTGAAAAGGGGAAGCTTTCAATGGTTTTGCCCATTTTGTAATGTTAATATATACTGATGGCTCTGTACTATTCTTTGGGGACTTGGGCAGACATGGCTGTGGCAGCATGCTTGCCCATTTTCCCACTCTTGTCTATTCTGTAATATTCTTTGGACTTGGACAGACATTAGCTCTGGCAGCATACTTGTCCGCTTCCTACTTTTGCCTTTTTGAATATATGCTGAATAAAACTCTTTTTGCTTTACAAAAACAAAAAACAAACCCATTGCCGTTGAGTCGATTCTGACTCATAGTGACCGTATAGGACAGAGTAGAAGTGCCCCATAGGGTTCCCAAGGAGCGGCTGGTGGATTTGAACTGCTGACCTTTTGGTTAGCAGCCAAATGCTTAATTACTGTGCCACCAGGGCTCCTCACTTATAAAGGCAGAACATAAATCAGGAAATAGTTAACCGATTTCCTTAATATTACATAATCCATGCAAACAGATTCTGTGTGGAATGAAAATTAAGTACAGTTGTAAAAGTATTTCACATCTCTAAAAAAAAGTCTCTAATACTCATCACTTATTCAAACAGTATTTAAAGCTTCTATGCTGTTTCTTCTTGTTGTTCCAAAGTGCCTTCTACATAGAAGTTGATCTATAAACATCCAATGAAGTAAATACAATTTCAATATACTGAAATAATCTAAAATTATTAATAATGGAATTTTAATTTTGACTAATACTATTTCTTATTAGTAAAAAGTACATTAAAATATGCCACGGATATCAAATATTATATCAAATACCATGTGCAAGTCCTAAGGCTCTCTGAACCACTTCCTTAAATGATGTCATATCTTTCTCCCAACCACTGGACTGTGTGTCACACTTGTATGCCTTAGAAAGATACTGGAATGCCTAAGGAAAGAGAAAGAACAGCATTCAAAACAAAACTTGAATTCATATTTCAAACTTCTATGTTTCTTGGAAGTCATATGGAACTAATTCCAACTTGAAAAACCCTCATCTGTATAGGACAGCACATTGTCTGTTATTCTCATCAAAGAAGGGGCATAGATGCACACACAATAGCAATGAGCAATTAAAAGAAACTAAACAGATGTGTCTGGATAGAGACACTGCCCTGTAAATAGAAAAATGTAAAAACCAGGTTTGGAAATCTGTAAGAAGTGGACAGATTTTCTCAGCATTTGTAGCCGTCAGCTTAAGAGACCAGTTTAAGAAACAAGGCATGAATCTGGTGAAAACTATATAATTGCTGATAGGGGTGTAAAGTTCACAGAAGTTTAAAATAATCTTTCTCTTTTACAACCCATCTTTGTGGATTCTTTGGGGAAAAATTACAGATCAGAGGATTTCAAGTACCCTTAATTCCATATATGCAAGAAAGTGCATAATTCAAGAAGGAATGCAGAGACAGAGAGTAGGCGTGTGTGCGAGTCTTTGTGTTCTCTGGGCTGACAAGGCAATGGTAGAAGCCAGGTGGGTGGACTGAGAGAGGACGGGACAACTAAGAATCCACAGATTATCTGTACCGTGGCTAATTCCAAACCCATGCAAGGAGTACATTTGATTTGTTGTGGATGTTTTGCAAAGAAACACAAAATAATTATTCCAACCTTGGAAACTCTGGGGGCCCGTTTATGTTCTAAGAAGCTAAAGGCATAACTTGAGTAACTGGAGTCCTATTGCACTGGCAAGAAAGGGGCAGAACAACTTCTGTAAAGCACTATAAAGTGCAGACTTTAAAAGTTCCTCTCCAATATCCTTATCTACTTCCTTGTTCTCTTTCCCTTTCATAGTCTCCATCTCAGATCTAAACACTCGTTCTGTCCTTCTATTCAGTCTGCCTTAGTCTTTAGCAATGAGGCTGCAGACAGCGGTGCAGAGTAAAAAACAAGGGCCAGTTGTTTGTTGCAGACCCTGTAGGGGCAGCAGGTTAAAGAGACCCTTTTGTAGGAAACAGAGAACAATTCTGTAAGAAAAATTCATGGAAAGAAAAAAGAATGTTTACAGGTCTTAACCTGTCCACAATTCAAAGTGTTTATGTGAAAGACTCTGAATCAAAGTGAAAAATTGAGCACATTAATCCCATCTTTCAAATGATCAAACTCCCCCTCTACCAATCAAAAAAGCGGATCTCCTGCACACGTGCTCAAACAAAAGGCAGGAGCCCAAGAGGACAGGCGTACTTACCTTTTCATTTTCATCAGGCTTTTCACTCTGCCCATTTCCATACACTTGGGCATACAGCCTCCAGATTTCACCATCATTTGTCACTCTTGAAGTTATTCTGCCAAATAACTCCTGCAGCTTTCCTCTGTGGCTCGTAGCAACATCTCCACTCCGATCAGTCACCCCATCAATCACTGCCCTGACCAGAATTTTAAGGACCTTAAAAATGCACATAAGCAAGCTGGTAAGCTAGAAACAAACAACAATAAAACCAAAAAGCTATCACCACTATCGGTGTCGACAATGACAATGAAACATCTTGTGAGATCATCATCTATTAGATCATCACCCTTACTCTTTTACTAAAATAAATGAAAGTCAAGCCATCCTGAACCCCTCTCGAGGTCCCCATGCCTACCGCCTCTTTGGATGCCCCTTTCCTGTCTCTGTGGAGGGCTCTTCTCTCACAAGCCCCCATACTCAGTGCTCGTCTCTTCTCACTTTGTTTCTCTGAATGGTGTCATCCACACCTGTAGCTTCAAATACATCACCAAGAATAAGAGTCTGCAGCTCAGTAGACTCCTCCCTGGATATCCAGGCTATGCATATCCACACAGTACATCCAACTGGCATCCCACACTCAATCTATCCAAGACTGAGACACGAATCCCAGACCCATCTTCCTCCTGCAGTCTATAGTTGAACTCATCCACACAGTTCCTGAGCCAGTACCCTGAGCATCAGCCTCGATTCTCTTCTCTCCCTTTTCTGCCATGTCTAATCGATTTCTTGATTCAACATTCCTAGTAAGTCCTAAATCCAGCCTCTCCTATCTTAGTTGAGGCCTCATTACTTTCCACCCAGACTACTGCAATAATATTCTAACTGCTTAAAAATGTCCTGGCCTCCCTAATTATTGAAAGATAAACTGCTAATGCATTTACATTAGGCATGCAGGGTACACAGAAAGTATCTCTTCTAACTAGAAGTTGCCCCAGCTCAGTTCATTTTGGCTATGTTGCTATCAGTTATTCTTTACACATTCTAGCCCAGATGCTTTGAATGCTGATGGATGGATTACACTGGGTCTCAAAGCAGGCTTATGTTGTTATGACAGGGCACCTCTGTCATATCTATATTAGTCTGTGTATCTCAAGGATGCAGAGAAAGTGCACCCTCAATCTTCCACTCTTTTGATGGGGAGAAAGCAAAGACATCTGGATCCATCTAAAAAACCAGCTTGAGGAGAGTGTGCTAAGATCTTGCTACTAAGTGTGCTCCAACAGCATTGGCATCACCTGGGAGCTTTTGAGAAATGTATGATCTCAGAATCTGGTCCACATTGGAGTGAGATTCTGTGTTTCTCACAAGTTCCCAGGTAATGACAATGTGGTTGGTCCACAGACTACAAGTAGCAAGGTTCCAAGAGGCAGAGTGCCCACATCTTTTCCCCTATTCCAGTTCAGGGAGAGGACCACATTTCATCATCTTGTATCACCAGTGTCTAACACAGTGCCCGGCACACAGCACTGACTCAATAAATACCCGTGCTTGAAAGAAACACTGAATGAATACACATCTTTCAGAAAATATTGCTAAAAGAAATGCAATCAGTGTGACACCTTGCTCTGTCTCCTCAGAGAACATTCGGATCCATGTGTGAGATGCAGCCGAGAAATTGTGACTCCTCTGGAACATTAGGAGTCCCTGGGTGATGCAAATGGTTAACATGCTTGGTTGCTAACAGAAAGGCTGGAGGTTTGAGTCCCCCCAGGAAGTACCTCAGAAGAAAGGCCTAGAGATTTACTTCCAAAAAATCAGCCATTGAAAACTCTATGGAGCACAGTTCTACCCTGACACACTTGGGGTCACTGTGAGTTGAATTCAGCTTAATGGCAACTGGTGGTGGTGCTGCTGGAACACTAACACTTTTAGGAATGTGAGTCAGACGTATAGTTCTAATTATAGACAGTGATAAAAGTGGACAGGAGAACATTCAATTGTACTTTTTCTTTCTTGTTTGGACAAAGTACATTATCTCTGCCTAGAAATCCACATTACAATCCCACATGTGTAATTTTAAAGTACCAAAATTCACATTACTATCCCACGTGGTTTTAAGCCTGAAAGCAGAAATGCAGAAGTAGTAGTATGAATGTGCACTATTTGTTTCAAGTGATCATTCTGTGAACATTTTCAGGATTAAGATGTTTTGAAAGGGATAGTCTATTAAAATAGCTACTAATATGTATAAATGAAACATACTGAATTAGTAAAGGAGTCCTGGTGGCACAGTGGTTAACAGTTACAACTGCTAACCAACCGGTCAGCAGTTTGAAGCCATCAGCTGCATCTTGGAAACCCTACTGGGGCATTTCTACTCTGTCCCACAGGGTCGCTATGAGTCAGAATCGACTTGATGGCAACAGTTTTTTTTTTTTTTTAATTAGTAAAATACTTTGTTTCTTCTGGGATCTCACAGTTGGCCCAACATCCCATCCCCTCACTTTGGCCTCCTTGAGGAGGCAATGGGGAAGAGAAAGCTTCTGGTCTTCTTGCCAATAAAAATGGAGAGCTGCAGTGCTGGTAGTTTCAAAGGGAAAACGCTGGTGAAGTGCATGTGTGTGTTTGGGGGTATGTGAAGGGAAATGCAGAAAGGTGGGGTGATGAAGTTTCTGTGTGTTGACGGAGTGTAGGGGGTGGTGCAAAGAAAAATGTAGGTAGGGCAGATCCCGAATGCCACTACGCACTATATATGCAGATCCGTGGGAACTTGTATAGGATGGGAGGCAATAACAAATGTGTTTTCATACTCTCTATCTGCATATTCAATGGCCAGTTGTGGAGCTCAGAAGACAGCTCTATACTGGAGAAATAGATACATGAGTCATTCATAGTCATAGCAGATATTGCCTAAAGAGACTATGTTGGGTAAGAATAAGGCTGAGGATAGACTCTTAACGAACACAACCTTTAAGAGGAAGGCAGATGAAGAGGGGCCTATCCACTAAGGAGACTACAAGGCATGGCCACATAAGGGGTAGAAAGTGGTATCATGGGAGCCAAAGGAGGAGAAAGGAACAAGGAGTATACATCTGCAAAAGTTAACTAGGATCAGAACTGGAAGATTCCACTGGATTTGGCAATTACAAAGGTTACTGAAGGAGCCCTGGTGGTGCAACGGTTAAGTGCTTGGCTGCTAGCCGAGATGTTGGCAGTTCAAACCCATGCAGCGGTTCCGCAGGAGAAAGACCTGGTAATCTGCTCCTGTAAAGATTATATTTAAGAAAATCCTATGGGGTAGTTCTACCCTGTAACACACACAGTCACTATAAGTCGAAACTCGACTTGACAGCACCTAACAACAATAGAGGTTAGTGATTGTATCCAGAGCTAAAGCCAGAATGAGGTGGGCAGCAGAGATCATGACTGTAGACCAGAGGCTTACATCCAAGAGAGAAGGAAAAAATAGAAAAGTCAAGACAATTATTAACATCAGGAAAAACAAAAAGCAAAAAATGAAACGTAATTATAGTATTCTATAATACCCATTTGATACTATTTGCCTAAGCATAATAATGTTAACGGGGAATATTCATTTACCCAAAAATTTTAATATAAATATATTGGGAAGATAAGAAAGGGAAGCAGCAGAAGTATTGGTATAAGACAGCTAAGTCCTCATTTACTTTAATAGAAAGTCAACTAATAATGCTGAAATTTGGTTATTAAAAAATAGCAGTATAAGCCTGTTAGATTATGAAGTACGGAAATGTGCAAATGGCAAAAGAAATACTAAAGAGTTTCTCCCATTTGGGGAGAAGGATCTTGAGAAATACGGAGGGGTAGAGCAGGAAACTGCATATTTTGTTATTTGCCTTTTACTACTATTTAACTTGTTAAACCATATGTGTTTTCTTCTAAGAGTTTCATGGTTTCAGTTCTTATATTTAGGTCACTGATCTATTTTCAGTTAGCTTTTATAGACAGTATGAGAGATGGGTCCAGTTTCATTCTTTTGCAACTGAAAATCCAGTTGTCCCAATACCATTTATTAAAGAAACTATCCTTTCCCCATTGAGTGGACTTACCACCCTTGCTGAAAATCAACTAACCATATAGATGTGTTGGTTTATTTCTGGACTCTGAATTCTATTCCACTGGTCTATATGTCTGTCATTATGCCAGCCCAGACTGCTTGGTTACTGTAGCTTTATAGCATGTTTGAAATTGGGAAGCGTGAGTCTTACCACTCTGTTCTTCTTTTACAAGATTGGGGGTAATGCTTTTGGATCTAGTTTTTGACAATGGATTCTTAGATATGACACCAAAAGCATGAGCAACAAAAGATAAAATAGATAAATCAGACTTCATCAGACTTAAAAACTTTTGTGCATCAAAGTGAAGAGACCACCTACAAACTGGGAGAAAATATTTGAGTACCATATATCAGATAAGGGTTTAATATCCAAGATATATAAAGAAACCCTACAACTTAGCCACAAAATGACAAACAACTCAATCAAAAAATGGGCAAAGGACTTGAACAGACATTTCTCCAAAGAAGAAATATGAATGGCCAACAAGTGCATAAAAAGATGCTCAATATCATTAGGGAAATGCAAATCAAAACCACAATGAGACACTACTTCACCCCCACTAGGATGGCTATGATAAAATAAAGAAACAAAAATAAACCAAAAATGGAAAATAGCAAGTGCTGGTGAGGATGTGGAGAAACTGGAACCCTCATTCACTGTTGGCAGAATTATAAGATGGTGTAGCTACTGTGGAAAGTAGTCTGGCAGTTCCTCAGGAAGTTAAACATAGAATTACCATATGACCCAGCAATCCCAATTCTAGGTATATACTCAAAAGGACTGAAAGCAGGAATGTAAACAGATTCTTGTACACCAGTGTTCACTGCAGCACTATTCACAATAGCCAAAAGGTAGAAAAACCTAAATGCCCATCAACCTATGAATGGATGAACAAAATTTGGTATCTACATACAATGGAATATTACTTAACCATAAAAAGAATGAAGTCCTGATACATGCTACAACATGGATAAACCTTGAAAACATCATGCTACACAAAATAAGTTATAGAAGTGACTAAAAGTGGGTAAATAGCAATAATGACAACATGTTTCCTGTATACATCATAGAATTGTTGTCTCAAAGGAATCAACATAGATATAAGAGTTTTGTAAACTA